CGAATTTATAAACCTACAGAAAGAAGAACGGTTACAGTCATCACGGAGAGGGTTCCGTTAATAACTGAAATAATAAATATACTTAACAATAATATCCCACGTCCCTGATCCGTAGGACCTGTCCACGTATACTGACCTAGAAACAATAATAATTAATTAAAAAGTTAATAATTAAAATAAATAATTCATTAAAAATAATTAAATATTAAAAAAAAAAGAGAAGAGAAAACAAGACTCACCAACATCATCAAAACAAGATAACACCCTGGTGACCTATACCAGAGAAGCTCAGACAAAACGACAAGAACTATACCGGCGATTGGTAGAATACTGTAACTGCAAAGACGAAAAAGAACTTTCCGAATTATTCACTCGCTATTTTAACACCCGTGTTAACCACCACACGAAGGAAAAATAACTCTATCAAGCCACTCGAGTACGTCTTCAGGTAGAGTTGGAAATAAGATCGAAGCTCACCTTTGATGACACTAAAATAGTAACAAAAAAACTTAACGACCAAATCTTCAGTTGGTGTCAAGAGGAATTTGAATTAACTAACGGATTAATCGACGAAGAACTGGAAGAAACAGAAGAAAACGAAGATTACCAACCCAATATCACCTTTATCGAATCAAAAAAGTCTCTAGAATCCCAAGAAGAAAAAATGAAAAACGTCCTATCGGATTCATCCGACGACCAAGAATCGGGAAACATAATAGTATCTGATTGTAATACAAAAGGACCCTTTCAATTATTTATTAGTCCTCCAAGCATTACTGAAAGTCAAGCCGCTGAACTATCTGCCGAAGAACGAGACTATCAAGAAAGAAAAGAGAAAATTAAAGAAGGACTGAATAGGGAATTCAGGGAACGGAGTACATTAGTCACACAATTGACAACCATTTCCGAACCCCCATTAAGTCCAAAACAATCCAGGAAGATTAAGATGTCCACTACACTAGAAAAAATTCAAGATACCGAAACTTCCGAAGAGAAAAATAAAGCCACAAGTTCTGGAACGAAGACTAGGAAACCCACTAAAAATATTAAAGAGAAAGAAACGATCAAGTCGTTACTCAAGGAAACACATATCAGAATCAATGAAGAACCTGACGACTCCGATCCAGACAGTAACGATTCTGATATGGACAACCATAAAATAATAAAAGGAATTAGAAAAATGGAAAAGAAAAATGAAGAAGGGAACGAAAACACCACCAGATTAAGAGAATACAAATTACCTGACTTCTACGGCAACGACGAAGATGAAGATCCAAACGAATGGGCCATGAAAGTCCTTAAAATAATGACAGCAAATAGATGGGATGCAGTAACGACCATGAAACGGATACCGATCGCAATGAGAGGCACCGCCAATGAATGGTTTATCAACCTGGATGAAGACATCCTTGGAA